CATAATTATTACCTTGTCATCTATGTAACATATGGAGAATGCAATTATATGGAAACAATAGAACTGAAGAATAGTACGAAATCAATGATTTTAATTCTTCCTCTATCTGCCATTATCTATCTAAAAAACTAAACTACTTAATTTTGTGACTTCAATAAAATTCCACTGTAATAACTCTATTTTCCGATATAAATCGAGACCAACGAATCACAGTGACATTTATCATACGGTTGCTAATCCAAGGTGTAATATAGGTTGATTGCGCTAGTTTCTCATTTGTAACTATGGTTACGCAATAACACTAAGCATCAATATTATGAAACACTACATCAGCAATCTCTAGATTTGTATTCTGTTGTATCAATTTCTTACAAATCACATATATTATTGGTGTAGTATTTGGCTTTAAAACAATCATAGTAATTATGTAATTTGATGATCATATACAGTTTAATATGTGCAGAATTATATAATAACAATTCATGAAAACAAACAAAATGACTGAAAAGGACAGGTAAAACTATTTAAAGTTGTGATGTGAACACAGAAAGAGTTGCAATATTTCTCAGAACAACAGGTGATTTTGGAAAAACAATGGGTGATTTCTCAAAACAATGGGTGATTTTGGAACAACGTGTTATTTCTCCCAAAACAATGGGTAATTTTGATAAAATTTGATAAAATAAGAGGTGATTTCTCAAAACGATGGGTGATTTTGGTAAAACCACAGGCAATTTTGGTAAAACAATCAGATAAAGGTGCTTGCTGTAATAAGTTTAACATGATACAAATGGGTACAAATAGCTTTTAGGATGGGTGCAAATCAGTTTTCAGGCGGGTGCAAATCAGTTTTCAGGCGGGTGCAAATCAGTTTCAGGCGGGTGCAAATCAGTTTTCAGGCGGGTGCAAGCATATTTCTAGAATCTCAAGTAGATAACTGCTCACAAAATGCTTCCAAGCCGATGAACAAAATAATATGTTTCACTAACAAATAAATCCATTTAATCTACTGTAAATAATTGACTGACTACTCAGCAAATGTTTAAATCCAGCAAGATGTCTAAATCCAAAAGTTGGACCATATTTTTCACTCCAGACTTCAACATTTTCAAGCCATTTGAATGAATGATAACACACTACCGTTCTCTTTTCTATTTGCCAATTCTATAGTCTACATATTTCACCAACCATTAACCAATCTTTTGCCTTGTTAACCCTCTATCCTAACCACAATGTGATTTTCAATATGACAGTTGGATTCTATACCTCGTTTAACAATAACTTATTGGAGAATTATCTAAATTGTCAAACATTTTTATTGTAACAAAACAAGGATAAAATAAACAAATGAGATGGTCAAAATGGTTTTAAAAACAAAATGGCACCACCTTGATAAGTGTAACAATGATGTTACAAACTTATTGTTACAGACACTGATAGAGTATTCTGGCCCAAAAATAGTGGCTCTAACACAATGTGGCTATGACAATTTCTAATTCAATTTATTTCATAATTTCTTACATAATATACACTATAAAATCATGCCGCTAGATGCCCATGGGCATATGCTGCAGTGTAAAAGTATCAAACTATATCTAGACTACATTTAAAAAAAAGCACTTACATTTTGTTAAATAACAAATGTATCTACAATTATTCAAAGGCCTGCAAATATTTAAATACAAATATTCCATCACAAATGAATCAAAATAGCTTTACAGAAAGTATCAAAATTGGTTTTATCAAAATGATCTTTTCAAACAGGTTTTGTCAAAATAGGTTTTGTATAAAAAAAGGTTTTGTATTCAATTGGGTTTATATCAAATTAGGTTTTGAATCAAAATAGGTTTTGTTTCATTTTTAAAAGACAGGGTTGCAATCTGGCTGAACTTACAAGTTTTGCTACGCAATAAGCACGTATATTAAATGTCAAAGCTGGAAAAAAGCAATATGGAGAAAATCAATGTCAAAGATTTACTAATAACATGGATACCAATATCATAAATATGAACCGATTTATAGATCTACTTCGTTTCTATCGGATATAATAATAATCAGTGTAACCCTACTCTTTGTACGTCATAACCATCTCGTTTATATCGGCAGTGCATATTAATGTTAAAAGTTATGTGGTATGCAATAATGTTATACATCGATTCAGACATGGGGTTCTTACTTTATCCCTCCTGCATGCTTTAATTCCGAAAGGTAATGTCCTTCCCCTATTCTGATTATGATTCATCAGAACTACGACTGCTTAGGAATCCCTCCAGTGATAAGCAGAGGCTATGGGAGCCACAATAACTCCCACTCCCCATCCCCACTAGCTAATCCCCCTCCCCCACCTCCAGGCCACCCCATCCGAGTTAAAACCAGGGTTTTGATATATACACATACAATTCATTTAGTACAATACCAATTTAACATGTACATTGTACATATCCATTAGCTAACATAAGCATGTTACTAATTATTAAAATCCATATTGTGAAAACCAATTAATGATTATTAGTGACGGTTATTAAACACCTTTTCATTCATATAAACAGTCTTACACAGACACTGTTAATAAATTGCTTTCATTTAGCACCTAAACAGCAGGCCCGTAGCCAGGCGGGGGGGGGGGGGTGTTCGCAGAGTTTGGGCAACCCCCCCCCCTCTGGCCAAAAATTCTTTCAAAATCATGCAGTTTTTCACCATTTTGAGCACTTCTCAAGTGATTTTATCAATATTTGGGCCAAAATTGTCAAATGTGAACCCCCCTGGAAATTTTTGAAAACTGAACCCCCAACCTTGGCAAATCCTGGCTACGGGCCTGAACAGCATATCCAAACACTTATCTTATCCGAACAACTCCCGATCAAAACATTTTTTCCAGTTTCATTTTTCTCCCATTGACTCCCATGTTAAAATAACCCTGAAATGTTTTAACTTTTCACAATAGAACAAAGAGGAGTCATTTTTGAAAAATCAATCCGTCTCAGCTTTACACGAAATATGCATAATTAATCAATTAAAAACAAATTTTCATTAATTAGTGTTCAGATAGATCAGAGTGTCATATAAACCCGATCATCGTTAAATATTAGGAGATGTTTATTGAAAGTACTGGCTGAAAAATAATTATAAGAGTTATAAAACAACAGGACATGCATGAACAAATATATGTAATCAAAGTACAATTAGGTAATTTATTATGGATGTTTATAAAAAATGTCAAGATATGTTTATTTCTTGGACATCAAAGACTCGTAGATTCATGAAAAAGCATAGAAGGTATTAACATGCAAAATGTCACCACCATTTGTCAACTGACAATTAGGAACCACCGATCCAACCGCCAATCACGATCACAAAAAACTTTTTGGTGGTGACATAAAAACCATGTTAATTAGTTAATAACTATGAATGTAATTATAGACTCAATGCATATTTCTAAAGACATCAAACTGGTTTGACCATGAACAATTCTGTGCAAGATTCCCAATATAAATCTTAATCAATTACTTCTTTGCCAAGGCATTGACATTTTTTGCTATTTTTCAAATCTGCCAAAATATATAATAATAATAAAAAGCAGTCAATGTTCTGAAACTGGCAGTTTGCCAAATTTAACAAATTTACGGTTTTTGTTCTTGTCAAAACAATACAATCAAATCATTTCACTTGTTATTTTTTATTGATCTCAGTCCAAAAATATCAAAATTCCCAAAAATGATCTGGGGTCCATCGTCTAATTTAGCCCATGTTGTAGTCTATCTTCTTTAAGATCTTGGACTCCCCTCCCGACTCCCCCTTAACTACTTCTTCTTCTGTACTATGTTGCCTTGGTAAAGGTGAATTACATAGGTGGAGGGGTACACAGGAACAAGACTATTAAAGTTGATACAATATTTTTAATATCAAATTGAAATATGAACTTTTCAGATATGGAGCTCCAATGACGCAGCTAGAGACAAATGACCCATCCTCAGCAATAACATCCCCTCCCCCCCCGCCCCTCTCTCTACCCCCCCCCCCCCCCAAAAAAAAAATAATTACAAAATGACCATATAATTACAACATACCACTGCTATACAGTGTTGTTTAAATTTAACAATATTGATCAAACATCAGTGTACCGCTGTTTTAACCAGTACTGTTTTGAGTACCGTTCAATGCTGTAAAAAACAGTACTGTTTCATGAACTAAAGTTGAGATTGGCAGTGCAGAATCTAAACATACATTTGGCTCAGAGTTAAAATACTTGAGTGTCTCTAATATTCTTCAACAACAGTATTTAGTTTGATTATTTCCTGGTAAGTTAAATTCTTTTCAATCCGTGTTTACATTGGTAGTTTAACCCCATACAACTATGATTTACAAAGAATAACCTACCAGCAATTCAAATATCACAATCATCAGGAATTTTCACTTTATTTCTTTCTCTAAAATTTGAGGGCACCAATTTTCTCATATTTCTATATAATGAACAATGTTTGTGTAATGTATGTTTATTTTATAGGGTGCAAATTCGTCTTTTTTATAGTCTATTTTATCATTTAAAATTTGCCCACGTTGAAATTTTATTTACTGGGTGGGCTAACTATTGTTTACACATCCAAATTGGTTTAGGATTTACCTAACAGTAAAGGATCAACTGAAATACCTTTCAGAAAGCTCATAAGCTGAGTAACACAAAAGAGTTCTATTTAGTATAATTCTATAAAAAGGACACCATTTAAAAACATTATTAGAGAACATGTCTCCTTTAAAAATTCACAACAATGACATTTTAGATTTTTTGTCCTGACAGAGTCATAGAATTTCTCAAGTGGTTTGCATAAGCTTAAAATATAAAAGTACATATCTAGTACTCTTTACTTGATAATTTTGCAAGGGAAATACAACACTTGAACGATTGATTTTTGATCATGAATTTTTGCAAGGTCAAGAGTGGCTCTGAACAAAAGAAAATTTGTTTGAATATGAGATAAGTCTAAAAATGAAAACAAAATTATGGCAAAATAAATATACTCCACTACAAGATTTATAACATAACACAGTGACAATGTCGCTACTTACCTTCATGATCATGTGACTAGTTTGCGTTTCTGCCTCAATCGTTCCACGTCGTGTCTCCAACGCTCGATATTTCCCAGAGCTTGAGCCCTGAATACTTGACCCCCCTCTCGCACCACTTCCTGTGGCGGTATCGCTAATTTTTGTCCCTGTTGCTCCTGTTAAGTTTGATGGACGGGGTGAGGTAGACTCGTCACTATCTCGACAATATACAACGCCAGTTTGAGAAACATGAATACTGGGCGTACAACCCATTCTGTTTCATAGTGATTGAAATAAACATAATGTTCTTTTCTTCATGTTACGGGATACGATTATGATATGAAAAGACTGTTGACTTGGGATATAAAGATTGTCGGCCCGGGATGTTGTTAATTAATTCCTTTAAATGTCAACTCTGTATGCCTGATCAAAAATTTCTCTTTTGCTATTCTCTGTCCTAATTGTTGACCTCCACATTGAATTGTTTACTTTTTCAAGATTGTTCACCTCAATCCAAAACTGTTGACCTCAAGCTTTTATAAAAATTTTCATGAAACGTTAACCTCACAACTATATCATTCTTACTTATCGCACGTTAGTCTATATTCTGTTCAAATCATTCCACAATTTGGTTGAGCCGTTGACAATTTACGTCTCCACTGCTACATCTGAAAACGTCACAATACTAGATAACAAAATAGAGTATCTACATGTATTAGATATGATACCATAAATATTACATATGATCAGTGTGTGAAATATGAATCTACTACAGATCTGTAATTATAGAATATTAACCAGTATACTACTATAAAATGACATAAGAATGAATTTTAGGTATAATATCTTGACTTTAATTATTGCTGAAGCTATGTGCCCTTTTAACCAGACCAACTGAAAAGGGGGAAGGGTTGCCACAAACTAGTCATAACTATTTACGTGATGATTTTGGCTAAATCTGAGTGATGGTATAATTACTGAGGACGTGTATAAGATCTGGCTAGCTGGAAGCCCGGGATAGAAGCATTACTTTTTCTGAGAAAAGGGTAAATACATCAAAATTTGACCATATTTGGACGCAATGGTAATTATGCTAGCTAACCAGGCTTTTGGATAAATTCACACCACTGCAACCTTTCATCTTAACTGTTGTGTTGTCAAATTATCTCTGGCCGATTATTTGAAAGTGGACTTGATGCTGCATAGATGCCCGGAGAACACGCCGGGAGCACACACATGTTATCCAGTACCAGGACTATACAAATGGGACTTTAAACATGTAGCCAATACCCGAGAGTACGTCAAAAATCATAAGGGGAGCCCAGGGACCTTATAACTCTAGGCTTGCATCTAATTTCCAACAGTAAACCATTATTTACAAAAAGACCAAACAGCAGAGTTTAACAAATAGCCTATTTATAACAGTTGGTCCATTGTTTGATTCAATGGCAAGTCTGATAAAAATACAGCCTCAGAAATCTAACACGAACAGTCCCCAATGAAAAAAAATGGAATGTGTTTTTACTCACCTCAATTGACTGGATCTGTTGATTTTTGTGACAACTGAATGGCTCACGATTAGCCGTCTTATTGCACTGATATCAATATTTACTCACTTTCGGCGTATAATTAGATATTATCCATTCGATTTCCAAACCAAAGATAATCACAAAATAAGCCTATTTAGCACTAGTTATCAATTTACTATGGGAACGGATTCTGTAACCAATTAAAACGATCCCACAATTCCCGTATGCGTAATGACGTCAAACCTGACTAGTAGCTACAGAGTGACTCAAAACATATGTCTCTTTTTAAAGATTTGAGTGAGTTGCCATCTATTGATTGAATTTCGTTTTAAAACTACTTTGGAGAAGCTCCCGGGAAAACCTTTCCATTTTTATCGCCGTCTCGCTGATATTCATTATTGTTAAACATAAGCGTTGCAGAGGATTAAATCATTGGGCAAAACAGCCATCAAAATTAAAGGCAGAATCAGATCTATGCCGGGGTGAAAAAATTACAAGCAACTAATTGAAAGCCCATGGACCTACCAATCTATTCTCAAATACAATACCAAACGTATCATGATATGTTATTTGGTGACGTTATTATGGATTCAAAATGCAAAAATGGGTGAAAAATGCTTAAATTGTCCCACATAATTAGAATGGTAACCATTGTAATAGAAAAATAATACATTTTTGTAAAAACCTTTAGTTTTCCTGAGATTATAAAGTTTGCTCTTTGGGTATTTTTAGAAAATAGATCATGACAAGGAATCGTATGAACACAAAATATTTTAAAATTAAAACAATTTTTTGTTTGCCTGCTCGCTAGATCTGATTCTCTCTTTAGTTTTTAAGTTGTTCCGTACGGGGTATTTTCTTATCTGTCAATCATCGCGCACTTTGATGTTTCACTTTATCAATAACGCAGATGCGAATAAGTAGTTACCAGTTTCACCACCAGGTGTCTCGTTCGGGTCAGATAGCATGGCGGATATAGTAGAAAGTTCCCTTAAATTACTTCTGTTTTAGTGGTTCAATTTTCATATGACCCTTATGTACAAATAGTCATGCAAATCAAAATATGTCCAGTAAAAGAAAATGTTATCTGTCCAATAAGTTAAAGTTAACCGCAAATGATATATTCATTCCGATGGAGTCAGTAAATTTCTTTGATATAGCAAAACATATGAGCAAAAAATATATTGTGTGGATTTCTTAGTGTTTCTCTGCAAAATAGCACGCTCCGTCACAGCGGACAGATTTTTCGATACCAGCCTGTGGCGTTATTTCAAACGAAGATGTTTCTTGAAAAATTGTAAAATGTATAAAATAAAAGTTGTATAGCTTTGTTGAAGCTGGAGAATAGAATCATTTTTTAAAGGCTAGCGAATTGAATTGATTTATTTTTTCATTTATAGTGTGAACTTTGATTGATATGATTGATTGACTGTCATATAACTTGCTGCAAGCCTACCGGCCAATCCCCATTGATTTGGAATTGGGGAATATGTCGATTTCGAAAATTCATCAGATTTGTCTTAGTCTAGCTACAGGCCCTTGTGACCCGACCCCAACTACAAGTGTCACGATTACGTTGGTGAAGATAAGAGGAGGTCTTGAAGCAAGACTAGTATAGGTTTATCATTTATGTCCGACCTGATGCATTCGGACTCTCGTCACATCATCTTTCTACAAGTGTGAAGCTATAATCAGTAGGACGGCACATTGAAAAAACCCATTGTTGTTTACCAAACTTTATATCAAAGTGGTGTAGCGATATATGACGTCATCGCACTACTTGTTTCTGGTCCGTTGGCTACCATCTTTATGAGGTCCAATGAAACGGGAAACATTTAAACATTTGAAAATGAAAGTGACGGATAGAATTCTACTGATCTCTTCTTTCCAACCATTTCATTTTAATGTTAGAAAAATGCACATAAATGGGAGTAAAATGCAATCAAACACGTGGGACTTTCACTCATTTTGTACCCTATATTCGTGCGAAATTAACATTGATTAAACATAATTTTTTTAAATGTCTGAATCGCTTAAAAGTTAAAGTAAATACGATATTCTATAAGTACCAAATATCAATCAGTTCCGATAAAATGCCTTCATTTGTTACATTTTCTACGAAAACGGCTGGGCATAATTTCGGTAGAAATGTGTATTTTACGACGTTATATGCATGGTTGAATCCAAAAAGTAGCGTCATTCAGGAAATTATCATGTGTGCGTAAAATCATGTGGATATTTCATATTGAGTAACTGAATTATCAAATTGACATATATATTGTCTTTGGAACATCACCTTTACACAGAATTATTTTCATAATGATTGCTCGATTTGCTCCATGATGAAATGCAATTTTAGACCTGGAGCTGACTCGTATCAAAAAGTATTTAGCAATGAGTTCAAGCTCACTGATTTTAAAGATAGATAAAATAAACGAAAGGGAAAAGGTTATGTGTGCCTAAAAGCATGTGGATATTTAACCTTCAATAAATGAAACAACAATTTTGATGTTTATATAATCTGAAGAACATCACCTTTACACATAATTATTTTATGATAATTGTTCGATTTCTTTCATGATAAACTGCAATTTTAGACCTGACACGTATTAAAGAAGTATCGGACAATGTATTTAGGCCCACTGATTTTGAGGATAAATAAAATGAGCAAAAGAAGAAAAGGTCACGTGTGCGCAAAAGCGTGTCAGTATTTGGATTTGAAGAAATGAATTAAAATTTTGACATTAATATTATTTGTGAAGCATCACCTTAACATAGAATTATTTTCATAATTTTTGCTTGATTCTTTCCATGAGAAAATGCAATTATAGACCTGGCACGCGTGTCAAAGAAGTATTTGGCAATTTCGTTCAGTCTCATATTGGTTTTCAAGGTAAATGAAATAAGCAAAACTGGAAAAGGTCATGTGTGCGTAAGTGCGTGTCAGTATTTAATTTTGAAGAAATGAATTAATTTTTTGACATAAATATTATTTGTGAAGCATCACCTTAACATAGAATTATTTTTATAATTTTTGCTTGATTCCTTCCATGAGAAAATGCAATTATAGACCTGGCACGCGTATCAAAGAAGTATTTGGCAATTTCGTCCAGTCTCATATTGGTTTTCAAGGTAAATGAAATAAGCAAAACTGGAAAAGGTCATGTGTGCGTAAATACGTGTCAGTATTTGGATTTGAAGAAATGAATTAAACTTTTGACATTAATATTATTTGTGAAGCATCTCCTTAACATAGAATTATTTTTATAATTTTTGCTTGGTTCCTTCCATGAGAAAATGCAATTATAGACCTGGCACACGTATCAAAGAAGTATTTGGCAATTTCGTCCAGTCTCATATTGGTTTTCAAGGTAAATGAAATAAGCAAAACTGGAAAAGGTCATGTGTGCGTAAATGCGTGTCAGTATTTAATTTTGAAGAAATGAATTAATTTTTTGACATAAATATTATTTGTGAAGCATCACCTTGACATAGAATTATTTTTATAAATTTCGATTGATTCCTTCCATGAGAAAATGCAATTATAGACCTGGCACGCGTATCAAAGAAGTATTTGGCAATTGTGTCCAGTCTCATTGATTTTCAAGGTAGATGAAATAAGAAAAACTGGAAAAGGTCATGTGTGCGTAAATGCGTGTCAGTATTTAATTTTGAAGAAATGAATTAATTTTTTGACATTAATATTATTTGTGAAGCATCACCTTAACATAGAATTATTTTTATAATTTTTGCTTGATTCCTTCCATGAGAAAATGCAATTATAGACCTGGCACGCGTATCAACGAAATATTTGGCAATTGCGTCCAGTCTCATTGGTTTTCAAGGTCAATGAAATATGCAAAACTGGAAAAGGTCATGTGTGCGTAAATGCGTGTCAGTATTTAATTTTGAAGAAATTAATTAATTTTTTTACATTAATATTACTTGTGAAGCATCACCTCTACGCAGAATTATTTTTATAATTTTTGCTTGATTCCTTCCATGAGAAAATGCAATTATAGACCTGGTACACGTATCAAGGTTGTATTTAGAAATTGAGTTCGGTCTCCTTGGTTTTCAAGGTAAATTAAATGAGCAAAACTGGAAAAGGTCATGTGTGCTAAAAAGCGTGTGAGTAT